AACCCCTCACGGCCTCGGCTCCCCCCGGTTCCTGCCCCCCCGAACCCCCCCTTAATTATCGCTTTAACGGTTCCCGGGGGGGAACAGGGGAGTCGCCCCCCAAACTCGGCTCCAAGGAAGAGCCAGCGCCGCTTAACGAGCCCCCAGTACCCACCTCAAACGAGCCCCGAGAGCCCCAGCCGCCTCAGCGCTCTTTCCCGCCTGCTTTTTTAATTCCCTTCCCCGTAAATCAGAGTTAATTATCGCCCCGGAGTGTCAGAGAGGCCGAAGGCTTGTAAATTATTTCAGGGAGGGCAAAGTCTTGAGCTGGAGGCGACACAACTGGTTTGGAGATGCTTATCTGGGAGGAGGAGCGGCTTCCCCGGCGGCCTTAAGGGATAAACACCCTCGGGGCGTCAAATTGGGGACGCGGGAGGTGACGCCGCGAGGAGGGAGGGAGACAGCGGGGCCGAAGGGCTCGTTTGGGTGCACGATGAGGATCCCCGGGGAGCATCTTCGCGTTGGACCGAGCCCGTTCCCTCTCTGCCTCCTTCTCCAAGCCCAGGGAGAAGCGGAAATATTTTGGGGTGACCTGTGGGAATTAGGGGACCCGCCGGAGCGAGGGGCTGGAGCTTCTCCCTAGAAGCTGACTCCTCTTTTTTTATTATTTTTATTTAAAACCCCTCTGTTTATCCAGGAAGTCCACGATCTGCTGAGCGACTACGAGCTGAAATACTGCTTTGTGGACAAATACAAAGGGACTGGTGAGTAAGCTGCTCTCGCGGCGGGCGTCTCCGGCGAACGCTCTCTCAGCGCCGAATCCTATCGCCGCGGCCAGGCTCAGCCCCCCGCCCCCCCCGGTGCCGCGTTCGGTGGCTTTTCCGCTGCTGGGTGTTCCGTTGGGAAAGGCAACACCTTATTCTGCAGCGATTCTCCGCCTGTGTCCCCCCCCCCCGACTGCGCCCTGCGTAGGGTTTGTTTAAACCCCCCCCGGGAGACTTCGTACATTGCAGCGTGGGATTTACGTCGCTTCCCGAACCCCTGGCTTTCCAAACCGAGGGTGTTCAATCCAGCCCCTTTTGGGGGGCTGTGCCTGCTGGCGTTATCCCCCGCACCCCTAAAATGGTTCTCGAGGGCAGAGGAAGCTGCGGGAGCTCCTCCAGCCCGGGGAGGTGAGGGTGGCTGGGACCTGGGGGCACCGGTGTCTCTCTGGAGCTTGGGGACAGGGCTGCCTTGCGCGAGGCTTCACCGAGGACGGTGTGATTTCACCGGCCGGCGCTCGCCGAGACTTTCCCTCCAGCTCCTCGCCTCGTCGGGGCTTTGGGCACTTAACGGCGGCCGGAGGGGTGAATTTCACCCCCCATCCTCCGAGGTTTAACCCTGCGCCTCGCCAGCCCCCCGCGGCTTCACGTTTTGGGGTGCCGCGGGCGCCGCGCGGCCTCACCCTTCCCTCCCGCTTCTGCTCCCGCAGCGTTTGTCACCTTGCTCAACGGGGAACAGGCGGAATCGGCCATCAAAAAATTCCACTTGAGCAAACTCCGGGAGAAGGAGATCTCGGTGCAGCTGCAGCCCACGGACGCCCTCCTGTGTATCGCCAACCTCCCCCAGCTCTACACCCAACAACAATTCGAAGAGCTCGTCCGCCCTTTCGGCAACTTGGAACGTTGTTTCCTGGTCTACAGCGAAAAAACGGGACACTCGAAAGGTTACGGATTTGTGGAATATATGAAAAAGGATTCGGCGGCCAGAGCCAAGTCGGATCTGCTGGGGAAGCAGCTGGGCACGCGGACTCTCTACGTCCACTGGACGGACGTCAACCAGTTGACGTTAGATCTTCTCCATTCCAAGTGCTTGTGCGTCGACAAGCTGCCCCACAACTACGCCGACCTCGAGGAGCTGCGGCAGGTCTTCTCCGCCGCCTGCGCCCCCGCTTTTTGCCAGGTGAGGGGGGGATTTTGGGGGGGTAAAGGTGCTTTTTCTGGGGTGCAGCCTTTCTCTGAGCCCCCCCACGCTCTTTGTCGAGCTCCCGGGAAGGCTGACAGCCGAAAGCGAGCGGCACCCCGGGGTGCAACAGCCTCGTATCGGCGCGTGAGGGTCTCTCAGGGTCGCGCTGGCGCTGGCTCCGTCCCTTCCTGTCGTGCTAACCCTCCCTTTGGCATGCCTCTCCTCTCCTAGCTGGCCTACGGGCAGGACGGGCAGCTGAAGGGCTTCGCCGTCCTGGAGTACGAGTCAGCGGAGATGGCAGAGATGGTTCAGCAGGCCACGGACGGTTTGCCGCTCGCCGGGAATCACGTCCGAGTCTCCTTCTGCGCTCCCGGCCCTCCCGGCCGCAGTATGTTGGCCGCCCTGATAGCCGCGCAGGCGACGGTGAGGCTTGTGTGTGTGCTGCTTCCTCCTCCTCCTCCTCGCTCCCTCTTCCCTTCGCAGCTTGCTGGCACCGTGACAGGCGCTGCCGGCATTCCCAAGGTCGGGTATCCAGCCTGGAGCAGGCTGTCGTGGAGCAGCCGGCACATTTCCCATCGGATCCCCTACGGAGCAGCCGTCTGTTGCCTGTAGCTCCTGCTTCGGGGCATCTCTGGCACGCTGCCGCTCCCAGGCTCCGATCGCACGGCACAAATTCCCCTGTTGCTCCCGTATTCCCGCGCGCCGCCACAAAACTCAGAGCGGGAATGCTGCTTGTTGCCAAAATCCAGCGGCTGCTTGGCGTGGAGAGCTTTGCCGGGCAGGTGCCGCGCCGGCAGGATTGCCGACGGCGTAGCTGCCGGCCTCCCCGACCCCGGGGACAACCGGCCCGCCAGCCGCTGCGCCTCGGCTTTCGTCAGCTGTAGGGATGGGTCGGTCGTTTCCTCCCTGCCCTACAATGGGATATTTGGGAACGATCTTGCTGGGAACTGGATTTTCAGAGCTGGAATCTTACTGGTTTGGGGAACTTAAGGGTAATTTCAGGGTGGCCTGTGGTGGGGGAAGCCTCGAAGCCGGTTGTCTTGCTTTTAACACGCTGTTTTTTGGTTTTTTAAGGCGCTGAATCGTGGGAAAGGGCTCCTCCCTGAGCCGAATATCCTCCAAATTCTCAACAGCCTGGGAAATCCCGCTTCCCTCCAGCTGCTGCTCAACCCCCTGCTCCACGGGGCCGTCGGAGGCAAACAGGGTAAGGCCGAACGCAGAGCAGAGGCCGGGCGGTTTGTCCTCGCTGCGGCCGGCGATTCCTCCGGCTTCTCTTCCCTCCAGGAATCCTGGGCGCCGCTCCCTCCGTGCCGCTGGTGACCAACCCGGCCCTCTCCACGGCTCTCCTCCAACTCGCGCTTCAGAACCAAACCCAAGCCCAGCAGGTACGCGGGATTTTCACCGATGCCGGCTTCCCTTCGCGCCGCGGACGCCAGCGCTGCTGTCGTGCCGGAGCCCTTGCGCTCCCGCCTGCCTCGCTTCTGCGAGAAACACATCTCCTCTTAGATCAGGGTCCTGCCCGTGCCGCCGCCGATGGGCGGGGGTCTCCCAAACCCGACGGCGGCCTCGTGCCGCTGCCGTTTTCCGCACCGTCTCGCCTCATATCTCCGCTCCGGCTCACGCATCTCCGCGGCCTCTCCCGAAACTCTCGCTGCCAGTTGAGGAGTAAAGAGAGGAGCAAAGCGAGGATTAAAGCTCCCTGCCGCACTTCTCGCTCTCCCCGTGCCTCTCGAACCGCCCCGCGCTTGGTTTTTTCCCTCTTTTTGAGTGATTTTCTGTCTTTTCTGGTCTTTCTCGCTGTGCTTTCTGCCCCGGAAGGCATTGCTTGGGAACTCCCTGTTCCTGCAGAACCAGGTCCGGACACAGCTGCTGCAGAGCAAGGAGAACCAAACCCTCTTCCCTGTGAGCGGTAGGAGGCAGCCGGCGCGGTAACATGCTGTGTGTGCGGTGGTGCCGAGCCGGAGCGCCGGGACCCCCGCCGGCGCCTTCCCCGCATCCTCCTTCCCATCCTTAAGACCAGGCAGCGATCGCGGTGAGGGCTCTGGCGGTGACACCAGTCACCCCAGTGACTCCAGTAACGCCGGAGCCGCTCTCCTTGCGGGGAGAAGCGAGTCGTTGCTCCAAATCGGAGACCGGAGGGCTCGGCCTCCGTGAGCGGCTCCGCTCCGGGGATCCGGCGAGGCGGCTGGTCGGCTCTCTGCCTCTGTCCCACGCTTGGTCAGCCGGTGCCCGCGCCGAGCTCAGGCTCGCTGGGGGGGTGAGAAGAGGGGAGCCCCCATCCCTCGTCGGCTCCCCTTCAACTCACTGCCTCGGCGAACGATGTCTGCGCAGGGCTGAGTGGCTTGGCTCCTTCGTTCCAGCGCAAATGGACCGTTTTGAACAAAAATTTGCGCTGAACCGTGGCGGGGAGCGTCTGCCCGGCGTTATTTCTGGTATTCCCTGCTTAAAGAGCCGTGAATTTGCAGCCGGGTCTCTCTGCGGCGCGTTTCTTGCCAAGCTTTTAGCCGACGGCCACGATCTGGAGGCCCTCGTGCCGCCTCCGTTCCCCTCCATCCCGCAAGCGCCAGGGGTTTTCCGCCGCCTCCGGAGCCACGGATCCGCCATGGAAGGCCCGATGTCGCGCGGCGTGAACCTCCCGCTCTCTTTTGCAGAAGCCGGGGATCCTGGGCGACTCGCCGCTGAGCTCCCTGCCCCACGGCGCCCTGGGTTTGGCCAACGCGCCGGCGCAGCCCCCCAGCCAGCTCCTGGGAGAGCTCGCCTCAGGTAACAGCCGGCGGCACGGGCTCTGCCCGACGGCGCTTTCGGGTGGAGAAAGGGACCCCTGCGGTGCCAGGCTGAGGGCGTGACACCCCCCCCCCCCCCCGAGCGGAGGGGGCCGGGGTCGGGTTTTCCTGGTGGGGGACGGACGCCGGGGCGAGGCAGCTTGCGTGGAGCGGGGAGAAAAGGCTGGAAGCAAGGTGCGGGGGCTGGATGCCGGTGCCATCCCTCTCCTTCTGTCTTCCCAGGTGGCCCCTTGCCCGGTGACATGGCACAGGGACACGTAAAATCACCGATTTTGCCTTCTGGAAACGTACCCCTGGCTTCTTTCCTGGGACCGGTGGGAGTAGATCGGGAAAACTCGGTGCTGGGGACGCAGGTGCCTCAGCTCACCCCTCCCGCCGTCACCCCCCCGGCTCTGCAGGGTCTCACCACCTCCATTTTGGGATCCGTCATCAGTGGTCTCCAAAAACCAAAGCAGAGCGAAAACGGACCTCCCGCCTCCGGGGTAAGATCCCCTCCCTCCGGGAGAAGCCCGTGGCACCTCGGGGGCTCCGTGTCGTCGCCAAATGCCCTCCAACGGCGTTTGGGGGCTGGTTTCTCTGCCCAACCCCCCTGGGGAGCCCCCCAAGCCCTTTGAGAAGCCACCCGAGCCCCCTGGGAAGCCACCTGAGCCCCTCGAGGAGCCACCTGAGCCCCCCAAGTGTTTCTCTCACAGGTCTCACTCCTGGGGGAGCCCCCCAAAGACTTCAAGATTCCTCTCAACCCCTACCTGAACCTGCACAGCCTCTTGCCGGCGAACAGCCTGGGAGGTGAGCGCCCTCCGCTTCCCTTTTCCCAAATGGAGAAGGGAAATCCCCTTGGGATGAAGAGCGGGGAGGAACCGGAGCCCTTTGGGGTTGATTTCTTTCCCCCTCCCCCCTCAACAACTCTTTGCCTTTTCAGGCGCCGCCAACAAAGGGTTTAATCTGAAAGCCGGCGTTTTGGGGAGCATCTCCAACCCTCGGATCTCCCAGCCCTCCCTGGCCGACCCGCTCCTACCCGCCCCCGGGCTGGGTGGGTGCACCGGGGGGCTTAGAAGGTTTTTTTGGGGGGCTTAGAAGGTTTTTTTGGGGGGCTTAGAAGGTTTTTGGGGGGGATAGCGGAGCTGGGGCAGCCCCTCTAACCCCTCTTCTCTCCGGAGAAGGATTTGGGCTCCCGGATTTACCCCCAGACGAGAGACCACGCTGGACCCATCCTGGGGGGCTTCGGGCACAGCAGACACAAGGTAAAAAGCTCCCCCAACACCTTGTGGGGGGTGGAATGGGAAAGTAGGGGGCCCCCCACCCTGTTTTTGTCCCCGATTGTCACCTGCAGCCCTTCCCCTTTCAGCTCTCCTCGTCCCCGGGGTTCGAACGAGGGGCTTTGGGGCCGCCCCTACCCCCCTTTTACTCAGGATCTCCCAGTTCCTACTTCACCAGTGGCCTTCAAGCTGGGCTCAAACAGAGTCACCTCAACAAGGTGAGCCCCCCCTCGCCCCCCCAGGGATTT